AAGCATGACTGTTTTCCTTCCAGATAAAGTCCTTTATCCATTCTCTACTTATATATATTTTTTACTTCTGATCTATGTTGTTTTATTATTATTGTGTGGCGCATCTTTCTTGGTGCCATATTGTACCAAGTTTTTTCTGCGTTTAAATAAATAAATAAATATGATGTCGATTGTCCTTTCTGGTGGCATATTCGTAAATAAGGATTCAATATCAAAAGAAACAAGAAATCCCTTTCTTATATTATACTCTAAATCTTGTTAACACATACAAAGCCATCTTTTTAGAGTATAGTTAGCGAGTTTTACTCTTACAGTTTCGTTCAACCAATTGGGCAAGCCATTTATTTGGCTAGTTCATAGTATGGAGAGTTCGACATGGCCAATAAAGGATGTAAGAGGGAGTTCCAGTTTTGTGTACTTCTAGAAGGTCGTACATTCGTGGGGAATAAGATCTCACAGAGGCTCTTACCGATTTGACTTGATATTGACACAACTAGTTGAGGACTGGAGAGATCCGCCTTTTATTATTCAATATCATGTCCTCTACTATTTTTCTCAGCAGATGTATGTTGTGTATGTTGTCAGTTAATAAGCTGAGCATTTTCGAGACATAGTCTTGATTTTTTCAAATGATCACACTGGAAATATATGCGTAAAACTTAGGCGCTGTGGTAGTAATTAATTCCATATTAGTTTGTTTATTTATTTATTCTTTTACTGTGTGATATATCTAATAAACAAACTAACATGGATCACACTGGAACCCTTTTGTAGGTCCCAATAAGGTAGTTAAAACGTATTCAATGTATTGTCAGCAGTCTCGATGTACGATCTGTTTACAGAAATGTCAAGGAAAAGTATTGCATTGCAGACGTGCTGTGAATAGCATTACGCGGGCACTTTCAAGAATAATCTTACCAGAGATATATAAAAGGAATTGATTGTATGAGATTTTGAAATCTCGCCTCTCTGCAATTACAGTCCGTACTTTAGAATATGAAGTGACTGTCCGTTGCCTTCCGCTGGTATGAAGTGTTACAACAGTTTTATTGTTCTATTTGTCCTTTCATTTTGTTTCCAACTATTTAAAAAAAAGCTGAATCCCTTTTTTCAGTGATTTTAACAATTTTGGTTACATTAGAGTGTATACTATTTCATTTGATTTCAGATACATGTTAAGATAGGGGTCGATCAATAGATTTTTTAGCATTGGGTCTTGTGCACTGTGTAATTTCATCTTAAGTACATTAGCAGGTTTAGTTTACTACGAAGTTGTTGATGAATCGTGAAACTTACAAGCCTGTAGAAAATTTGAAGACTTATCCATATTTTTAGAATTATATACTAGTGCTCTTAATAAACCGTAGAGTGGTTATGTTGACCTTCAAGTCTTATAAGAGTAATTATTCGGACAACTATTGGAAACTGATTCGCAATAAACAGCTGTCGCATCTTGGTTTGGAACTCTCCGTCAGTAAGCACCCATCACCCCACAATAAATCGAATGCCAGAACCTTTCAGATTACAAGAAGAGAGTGCGTTTCCGCCCAGTCGATAGATTGGAATCCAACGCTCTTGAACCCTACATTCTATCATCTCGCAATATTGCGCCGCCAGCATCTAATGTCACAAGCTGTGTCTAATGGATTCCATTTGTCATGCTTTCTTATTAATACTCCAGGAAATTCATCCTGCTGTCAGTCACTAATGCTCCTGTTTCGTGATGAAATTTACAGTACAATCAGTGTGAGTTGTATACTGAGTACTATACCGCTATAAATATGTGACTCAGTGATCCCAATCATTCATTCCTATTCGGTTTGTTGTCTAAAGCTTTAAATTGTACTCAATGCAACAAAATACGATTCATAGTTTAGTACATACTTACTAATGGCATCATTCCTGTTGGCAATCACTGTTAAGTTGGTATGATTCGATTCTTATCAATACTTGGAAATGTGATGCATGTTGTTAATCTTGTGGTTTTAAAACTCACGGAACATACACATTGGGTCATAGGAGTTATTTATGAGAAAGACAGTTGCAGCGAAAAAAGATTTCTTTTCGACGAAGTCATCATCTAGGCTGTACATTCGTGTATTTATATCAAATGGATGCGAATGCTCCAGAATAATTTCCGGTTAAGGGTCAAATTAATATAAATTACAATTAGGAATTAGAATGCGATAATAAACAGGGGGAAGGATAAAACTCAAACAAGGTAGCATCTTAATAACTGAGAAGATTGAAATTGTACAATTGGGGGTTAGAAATGTAGAAATAACAAATAGACAGGATGTTTGGATAGAAAAGTTAATGTGATGAATAATTGTTTATGCAATCAGGGATTAAATATGTAGAAATAGTAAAATGACAAAATAGACTGGAAGTTCGGGTATGAAAATATGACAGTGTAAACAGGGATTAAGAAAAACTTAAATAACATGAATAAACAGGAAGTTTAAATAAGAAAGGCGATGGAATGGTCATTACTAAAAGAATTACGTGTTAATGATTGTCACGGCAGGGACAAGAGTTGGACGTATTTTATTTTGAATACATAGCGTGGGTTTGAGAGCTTTTGGATAGTTAATGCCTCAGCTATGCCCAGATGTCTTGATAGGTTTGATTGAATCTTTTTTATTACTTTGACGGATTTTTCAAAAGGCGCTGAATGTCCTGAATTGACCAGATGTTCTGTCACTGAACAGTATACACGCTTTCGGTCTCCTTTTACTAGCCAGGATGGATAGTGTTCACGGGCGTGGTTTTAAAACTGACTGATGACTGAACCAAGTCATAATTTCTACTGTGTATCCGCTTTTTCATACTTTCAACTTACCATTTTTTTCGATTAATTTCATTAGATACTGATAACTAATTAGTGATCTATTTTACTGTTTTTTTTGTGTGTATTTCGTATCACGTGCTTCTCAGATGACACAGTTTGTAACCAAAAAATACTAAGTTGTTATACTGTATTAAATTGGAAGCCCTGACTTGCGAATGCGTTTCTCAAGCGCGTCTAGACTGTTTTGTCTGCCTGATTGTCTATCTGACAAAGCTCAACTTCCCGCTCGTAAGATTTAGATATGATAGAGAAGATTTGTAGCTCAGGTGGATGATTTTGATGTGGTTTTGTTCAATTCATCGAATTGAAGTATGCGCTGAAGATGTCACCCAGTAGGGTGATGAAAGCTTCGCAAATTAACCATCCAGCTCAGAGAACAAAACCACATCGAAAAGCTCAACTTTTTCTACAGCGTGCTTAATAGTTGAACAGTCTTAAAAGATCTTTTTTTTTATGTCTCACTGTATAACCTTAACAATATTGAACAGAATGAATGGTAGTAGGTCATCATACATTTTAAAACAAAGCGAAATTATTCTTTTGAAAAGGTGGTCGTCAGCAAGGAACACTTTTTTTCCTATTTCCTCATATAAGTTATACAGTAAAATAGTGTTTCTAAAAGGTTACAACAAATGCCAGTCTATTATTCTTAACTTTCAGCATTTTTGAACAAAACTTGAAAACGAGAAATTGAAAGACATCATCAAGGAGTTTGATATGTATTACCGATATGTCTATGATACACATTTATCTTATCTGATGGGAATGAATGTAAACATAGACGAATTGTTGCTGAAATTCAACAACGTCTACCCTTCGCTTACTTTTACTTGTGAAAAGGAGCAGGATAGTAAACTGTATTTCCTGGATGTCTTGTTAAGTAGGTGAGGAGATGGGTCACTTGGGAGAAGTGTGTATAGAAAAAGCACATTCATCACAGGGCAATACACACACTTCCTTAGTTACGTGCCCATTAAATATAAATGAAATCTTGTTAAATGTCTTGTGAGCAGAGCAAGAAAGATATTTACGGATGAGCTCTTACAAAAGGAATGAGAATATATTCACGATTCCTTGATGGAGATGGGCTATCCGAGTAGTTTTATAAAATAAACACATGAAAACATCAGAGAGAAAACCTAAGACTCTGACTGCATGTAAAAAACCTCTTTTTATTAAGTTACAATATAATGATGACTTATCAAGTGAGATTTTATTCCAGAGACTTTCCAGGAGTATACGAAGAATGTTTTATGCACCATACCTATGTTTGTCATTGATTGATTGAGACACAAACGAAGGATAAGCTAGATAGTTTTACCACATCTATGTGTATTTATCAATTCAACTGTACCTGTGGTGACAGTTATGTTGGGCGTAGTACTAGATAGCTTAGACAGAGTGTTAATGAACATCTTCTATCGTGGTTTGGCAAAGGACAGACAAAAACAATTCGTAGCTCAATTTTGTCACATTTAGTTGATAGTGGTCATGTAGTGGGGAAAACGAGAGCTTTCAAAGCAATTCTTCGTATCCCACCGAATCTTTCCAATAGACTTCGTATTCGTCTACTGCACATAACTGAGGCGATAGGCATTCGAACTATTAAACCTAAACTATTCATTCAAAAGAAGTTCGTACAGCCATTATCCCTGCCTTGGTCTATTAAGACATAACCAACTAAAAACTTCTATATCACCCTTACTTATATTTTCAACACCTCTGTTATCATCCCTTAATTTTATCACATCATTTAAAACGTGTTTCATTTACTTCCCTTACAATCAGTCTAGCATTACTTAATTGGTTCATTTGTTTTTCTTAACCTTTATCGACTACATATACCTGAACATTTGTTTGTTTAATCATGCTGTTTTCCGTTATTCGTGTTATCACAGATTGCCTCACTTTTCCACCCTTATTACTGATAAAACTATTATTATTATTATGACTAATTGCACAATTTATATTCACCATCTTACTATCCTATAGACAAAACACCATGATTGGTTTATATTTGAATTTTTATTTGTAAACTTATATATGTTAGAGTTAAGCCTGATGAGATCTAATTGAAAACAATATTGTTCGCTTAAATGTGTTGTTCTAAAAGTAAATTGTTTGCTTTTTTCTGTCTTTTATATAAAAGTTTGGAAATCGCACGATGCAGAGTATTACTTCTGTAGCAAATATCAAGAGAATCCAGATGCTGCAAAAGAGTCTGTGAGAACACGAGCTCGTGAATCACTGGAGCGATACATGTTTTATTATGAAAGAGTAAGATATTTCGCAAATATATATATATATATATATATATATATCAAGTATTGGTTTTGTAGGGATTTTGTTTGATTGCATGGAAGATTTCATCATGAGCTGACATCAGCTAGAGAACCACTGGAAAACCTGGGAGTACTGGACAGGTGTTTCGTCCTAGTTTGGAACTCTTCATCAGTACGCACCCACCGCGGTTCGAACCCAGGACCTTCTGGTTACAAGGCGAGCTCGTAGACCATTGAGCCACTGGGCCCCAATCCCAGACTAGGACGAAACAGCTGTCCCGTACTCCCAGGTGGTTTTCCAGTGGTTCTCTAACTGATGTCAGCTCATGATGAAATCCTCCATGCAATCAAACAAAATCCCTACAAAACCAATACTTGAAAATTAATCTGATGCTCACTAGTGACTGGCCTGTTCATGAAGTTAACCTGGGGTTCTAGTGGGAAGCCGTGACCAGTAGGGTACAGCAGGCTGAATATGAGGCAGTAACTCATCGAAGAAGACATTGAAAAGTGGTCGCGCTATATCGTGAATTGCCAGAAGTTAGAATTCAAAGACCATTGGATTGGATCCCAGTGGCTCAATGGTCTACGAGCTCGCCTTGTAACCAGAAGGTCCTGGGTTCGAACCGCGGTGGGTGCATACTGCTGAAGAGTTCCAAACTCGGACGAAACAGCTGTTCAGTACTCCCAGGTGGTTTTCCAGTGGTTCTCTAGCTGATGTCAGCTCATGATGAAATCTTCCATGCAATATATATATATATATATATATTATATACTTGATGCGTCGGTGGCACAGCGGTGGAGTGCTCGCCGGCCACACAGGTGGTCTGGGGATCGATCCCCGGCTCACGCACTCTTTTACCTCGCTGAGCCAGCAACAAGACTAGTAAAGAGGGAAGGTAAGAAAGGCTTTGTGTGCTTTCGGAAGTGTGGCTGCGAGACGTGGTCATTCGAGGTGGAAGACATGAAAAGGGTGGCTAGCTGTCTTTGGTCATAGGTGCCTGCTCTCTATCTCCTCTGTGAAGTGGTATAATAAGGTGAGCAATATTGAGGTTTGGTATCCGTCGAGTGCTAGGTAAGTAGGGGAAAACAATCGTCGAGGGTGTGAAGCTACATCGACTCAAATGGTTAGGACATGTGTTACGCATTCCTGCCTAGTCATCGCCTTCTTCGACAATGGGCAATGTCAGCTGACATAGGGTCAGGCTGGAAAAGAGCTAGCGGCGGTCAAGCCAAAACATGGCACCAGTCAATGAAATCTACAACAGTTGGTTTAAGCCAGTTACGTAGGAAGGTGTAGACTTCCTGGTTGGGGTCCTCGGGACGGTAAAAACCAATGCAGACTGGAAACAGTTGGTGATATGGCTCAAAATCGTTCTCAGTGGCTGGCGCAGATGCATCCGCTCCTTGTGACTTATGATTTCCAGTGAAACTATATTGTTCTTCGTTACTACTATTCCTTTGTGTCATATCCCTGTTTACTGTCTGTATTTTGCATTTCTTCTACTTTCTTCTCTTGGTTTGTGTGCTACATGGAGTGTGGCGACTTGAACTTCCGCACATATGTGCAGAGTTCTATGTCGAAAGCAGACAGAGACAGACAGACAAAGAGGAAGGGTTGGGCATGAGTCTAGCAATCCCATCATGTGATAGTCAACATCACTGCGACAGAAACTCCAAGCCTGTAGCTTGAAGCCCTATGTTCCACCCCTGGGAACGTAAAGAAATAAAAAAATATTATATATTTATCTATTGAGTGTTCTGTAATTTTTATTGGATGCTTTTTCTCTGTTTTATCAAACTTGTATAAAAGACTTTTGTAAGTATTTTGTATGCGCATACGTTGGTACTTTATCATGTAAGACTTTATTACTTTGTTCGTTTGTTTGCTAACACAAGTCGATGGTTTCGTATTCTCGGTCACTCGAAATCAATTGATATCTGACTGGCTGGTTTCATTGTAGAACTTTGCACAGATGTTCAGCAGTTCGAGTTGCCACTCTCCCTGTATGTAGCACACAAAGCGAGAGAAGAGAGATAATGAACAGAAATATGAGGCAAAAATAGGAGTAATATTGAAGAACAATAAAATTTTTATTGGATATTATGAATCACAAAGAGTCAATGCATCTGCGCCAGTCATTGAGAACTATTTCTACCCATATCACCAGTTGTCTCTAGCCATTGGTTTTTACCATCCCGAGGAACCCAACCAGGAGGTCTACATCTTCCGACGTGGCTTAAACTAACTGATGAAGCCGTGTTTCGGTTTGACCACCACTAGCTCTTTTCCAACTTGATCCATACTACGTCAGCTAACGTTGTCCGTCGAGGAAGGTGGTGGATAGCTAGACATGCGTAACACATGTGCTAACCATCTCAATCGATGTAACTTCACAACCTCGTCGGTTGAATCCCCCGCTTTACCTAGCACTTCTCAATATTGCTCACCCTATTATACCACCACCTAACATGGGAGATAGGAAGCAGGTACCTATGATCAAAAGCAGCTAGCCTTCTCGTATCTTCCACTTTGAATGACCATGTCTCACAGCCGGCCATAAAGAAAGACGGAACGAACTGCTGAGCAGTACACACGCCCTTTTGTCGACAGTCGTATACTAGTGGATATCTGTTTCCATCTAATCCGGAACTATTAAGCAGCGCCCACCACTGATTCCATGCAACGTTATGGTTGTAAGCTGTTGGCTTACACGGAGCACATTAGCATTAAGTCAGTAAAATTAATCAAGTTTTCCCTAATTTTGCACTAATTATAATATGTAATATGTAGTTGTTATTAAATGAACACCCTCAGATCAACAGTTTCAACTTACCACTTAATAAGAAACACTTTCCTATGAGTGACAAATAACAATGTCGTTGTGTACAAGCTACACATACACACGCGTTTTAAACCATGATCTCCTTATGAGATTATAAAGCAGTTATTGAGTCAGAAGAATATATAGCGAATCAGCAGAAGTTGGAATTCATGGGCCATTGATTCAGGTCCCAGTGGCTGAATGGTCTACGAGCTTGATTTGTAACCAGAAGGTCGTTGTTTTGAACTCAGGTGCGTGGATACTGCATATGCGTCCCAAACTAGGATTTAAAGCAGTTTTTCAATAATCCCTGGTTTCGAAAAAGTGTTTCACTAACTGGTATCAATTCGTGGTCAACCTGAAAGACAGTCGGGTGACGTTCACAACTACGGGAAATAAAAATGTAGAAAATAATAACACAAGTAGTTGTTCAGACCCTTCTTCAGATGTCGGTTAGTGGTTATCAAGGAAGTGAGTGAGCAGTGTATTAGTATTTCCACAATCGATAATTCATCATATTCCCGAGAATCTTCAAACATTTATTTCTGTTATATATCACAATAGCAATTAGGAAGCTGATACTGGTATTCAAGGAATATAGACACTAGGGGGACAATGACTTCATTAGAAATAATATTATGATTAATTCATTTATTGCTTTGTTGTATTTGTCGACAGTTTCTAGTAGTAATAATCTGTTTACCATTTCTAGTGGGAAAATCATGAACGAAGTCTGAGATTAGAACATGATCATCGAGCACGTATTCAAGCCAGAATCAATGAAAAAGTACTCAAAAAAGAAGGTACATGGATTGATTGGCAATATTTACTTCTGGCTGCAGACACTCTAAGAAACTGTCGATACACTTTAAAATACACTTATCCTCATGCTTTTTACGGGGAAAAATTAGAACGTAAAGAGCTATTCGAATATCAACAAGCATTATTAGAAGCTGAAGTAGAAGATCTCTCTTGGAAGATAGAACATGCCGAGATAACAGATCGAGCAGATTTACAAAATAAAATGGATATCTGTGAAAAGCATCGGTTAACTTTGTTACAAGAATTTTTGACCAATTAAAGAAAGTTCTGCTACTTGTGTCTTTTTTTCTCTCCTTTTTGTTTATTTATCTTCTTCTTCTTGATGCTATTTTCTTCTTCCAATAACTGACTTCATGTCGCCGTGATGCTTTTTCTTTTTTTTTAATGCTCCTTTTATTGACAGTTCTTTCAGAAAGTAGTAGTGTGTGACGGTGGGGTGGGGGTGGGGGGGTGAATATGCAATTTTCCGCCATTTAGAGACATATTTTAGATGATCACATTTCAAGAATCATCTCACTCGTAGTTCTCTTCCTAATGCATTACACTATACTTTTGTTTTTGAATTCTGTTTATTTTTATTTATTTATTTATTTTTCAGTTAAAAAAGTAGTTAGCTTTATATTCCTAATCTTGTTTTACTGACTTTTGTATGTATATTTATCAATATTTTTATTTACACTTGTTTATTATTATTATTATCTTTTCGATTGATTATATGAATGAGTGTAGTCACTCACTCACTCACTCACTCTCTCTCTCTCTCTCTCTGTTAACTATTTCAACACTGATTCATAATATCAATCTGGTTCTTGTGTGATTACACTTGTGTAAATCTTATTCTTTCTAGGGTATACTTTTGTATGTAAAGTGACTTCATTTGCCTTTTTTTCCAAATAAAATCCTACTTCCGTATCAAATCTCATATGTGTGTTGTTGTTTTGTGCGTTGCTGTTTTTCTTTTGTAGTATTAGTAGTAGTAGTTGTTGTTGTACGTAGACGTTTTTGGATACATTGTTCTTCTGAGTGTTGTGGTGTCCGCTACTGATAAGATTTATCAGTAGTATGTAAAGAGATGTTCATCGACACACACAAATATCAAAAAAGCCGGGAGATAGATTTGATGTCAGAGGAAGCACATGAGACAGCGTCGCGGAGATACATGGGAGACGTGAGAGGGACACAAAGAAACACAATATTTAGGCCAAAAGTATCACAACATGGAAGATCTGTGCACATGGTGATTTGAAGATAAGGTGTACATTCATTATTATTATTATTTCTATTTCCTTTAGTTCCTTGTGGAACATAGGGCTTCAGCCTCTCGTCTCCATTGGGTTCGGTTATCTGCCAATGTTTTTACTTGGCTTCATGTCTGCCCACATACTTTTATCTTCTCTTCGCTTGACCTCCTCCATGTCACCTATCCTCACAATGACGACCAACTCGCCGATTCTCGTTTGGGCTCCACTCAAGAGATGGCCTGGCGTGTGATGTCACCTGATGGTGTTCTCAGGGTATGGCCAGAATCCACCTCCGCTTCTTCCTACGTATTTTTTGCACAATTGCTTCCTGGTTGGTTCAATCATGGCCAGAGATCCCTGTTGCAGATTTTTTCTGACCATCTGATCTTGAGTAGTATTGAGCGAAGACAGTTGTTGATGAAGGTCTGTAGTTTGTTCAAAACTTGCATCGTGACGTGCTAAGTCTCTTATCCGTATAGTAGCACTGATTTCACATTGGAGTTGAAAATCAGGATTTATTTTCCATGCTGAGAGCTGTTGACCTCCACACAGACTTGAGAAGAATGAGAGCTGGTCTTGCTTTCCCGATCCTCACTACTTTGATATTCCCATCAGTTCCGTCCGCCTGTAGTTGAAACGATGCTTCCCAGGTAATTTGTAGGTGGAGCAGCTTGCTTCTTTCAGACTCCTCCCATTTATGCTGACTGTTGTTTTTGCTGTTGGCTAGGAATTTTCACCACCTCTGTTTTCTGTATGATCACCTGAAGTCCTATCTTTGATGCTTCTTCTGCCAATTTGTTGCTTTTCCTTCGCATATCTTCCAGTTTGTGGGAGGTTAGACATATATCATCGGCGAAGTCCAGATCCTTCAAATTCTTTGTGTGGATCCACTTTATGCATATTTCCTTGTCGCCCGCTGTCCATCGCATTGTGCAGTCTACCGCAATCTGGAAAATCATTGGAGATAGGAGACAGCCAGCTTGTCTTACTCCCAACTTCATTTTGAAGGATTCCGTGATTTTCGCGTTGTAGATTACTTGGCATGTAGCGTTGTCGTATAACTGTTGGATGGGGTGTATAATTGTTGGTAGCACCTCGTAATAGCGAATTAGTTGACGAATAACCTCTCGATCGACGCTGTCGAAGGCCTTTTCAAAGTCGATGAAGTTGAGATAGAGAAGTGACTGCCATTCCAAGCTCTATTTAATGGTAATCCGCAGTGTTGCGATTTGATCGATGCATGACTTGTTTCTCCTGAATCCAGCCTATTCTGGTCGAAGTTTTTCATCTAGGGCTTGTTTGATTTTCTCCAGGATGATGCGGCTCAGTATTTCGCTTGGGGGATGGACAGGAGCATAATACCACGCCAATTCTTGCATTGAATTAAGTCTCCTTTCTTTGGAAGTTTGAATAGGTAATCTTTCTTCCAATCCGCAGGTACCTTGCCCTCATCCCCCATTTTCGTCAGTAGTCGTGTCATAAAGTCCGCTGATGTCTCTGAGTCCATTTGAAGTGCTTCTGCGTGGATCCCGCCTGGTCCTGCCGCTTTTCCAGTTTTTAGCACCTTTATGGCCTTCGGGACTTCGGCTTTCGTTAGAGAGTTGGTATCCACTGGTATTTATGCTTCTGATGTTGGTATTATTCGGTGCGTTGTAGGTGGCAGTCTATTTAGAAGTCTTTTAGAATGTTCAGCTCAGGGCCTCTTTTGCTCCACCACTTGGTGATTAACTTTCCATTGTCATCCTTCAATGGCATAATATTTGCATCAAAATTTTCCCCGATAGGAACCTAGTTGTTTGGTAGAGTGTTCCCAGGTGTCCTCTGCCTGCAGCTAGTTCTGCTTCACTTGCCATAGCTTCATAATATTGTCTTTAGTTTTCCTTGGCACTCTTCTTTACTCTTTTGTTCAGTGTACTGTAGCTTGCATTTAAATCCTGTTTTTGCTGCTCGTCGGTGGACTAGATAATCTTTTATTTCACTGTCCTTCTCTCTTCTATTAATTTCCATGTGTCCGTAATGAGCCACTGTTTGTCCTGTCTCTTCTTTCTGCCTAGAACTTTCATGGATGTTTGATTCCACAATGCTTTCAGGCTGTTTCAGTGCTTTTCGACTCTGGTCTCTTCGCTAGTGTTGATCTGTGTCTCCGCCTCTTTCGTTATGATTGCAGTGAAGATATCCTTTGTATCTTCATCCTTCAGTCTTTGAGTATTGAACTTGGCTTGTGGTGTATATGCAGCTCCTGTTTCTCTGAAAGATTTCAATTTAATATGGAGTGTTTCTCGTACTAGATAGTGGTCTGAGACAACGTCTGGTCCTCTCTTACTTTTGTGTCCAGTAAGCTGTGTCTCAACTTTCTTGTACAACATTGAGATGAAGTCACTTTGGTTTTTGGTTCGCCCATTTGGTGACTCCCATGTAGCCTTGTGGATATCCTTGTGCTTGTATACGCTGCCGCCAATCACTAATTCATTGAAGGCACAAAAGTCTGCAAACAGTTGGCTATATAGAGACACCAAATTCCAAATAAGCATTCCTTCACCGAGTCTGTGGTCTTCTAGCGTTTCAGTAGGGCTTGCCTGAAATTTTCTCGTGAACTAGTCGTTACACAATCTAATTATGTTTTTTCAACTGCTTCAGACATTCCGAAAGTGAGATCTAATACTGCAGCTGTTAATAAAATCAAAAATCTTGATAAATGATTTGAAAAGAAGACTTCTCACAAATATGGTCAGTGTTTGAAGTTATTGGTCATTATAAATGACGTTTGCACTTCTGAGTAGAACGATGGGCTTTAACCAGCACATCTTCATTTCGCTAAGTTCTCTGCAGTTCTTTTTCATCGAGCTTCATGATTACTCGTAAGCTTTCATTTCCCCTCACACTGTGTCCTTCTTCTCTGTAACCATTGAACTTCTGACTCGTTTCCTATTCGGTTTTGAATGTGGAGTCATTCAACAGTCTTCTCAGTGTGTGTGTCGAATCCATTTCCACTTCTTTCTACATATTTGTTGGGCAATAAGTTCTTGAATGGTTTGCTACCAGACTTGCATACTGCTAATCCTTTCTGGTTGTCTGACTCTTATTAGCGTACAGCGTAGGCCTGAAAGTTTGCAGCCAGTTTGAAATGCTTTTGGTGACGCATCAACTGTCCGAATCATATATAGACCCAATGACTTCACATTAGTGTTAAAGGTTCACATCTTGTTTTGTGCACTGTGATGAGTGTGGTAGATTTCCCGACTGATTTCAGAGTAATGAAGGTCTATCTTGTTTTTCCGATTCTGCTTTTGACATCCTCATCTGTGTGTGACACATACACACTCACCTGCAGTTGAAATGATGCTGCGTAGATAAGTGAAAGAGATGAATTCCTTTTGTTGATAATGATTGGTGCTTGTTGATCAGGTAACTCTTCACTACCTCTATATTCTCTATGTTACCTTGAAGTCCTGTCTTCGCTGCTTTTTCTACAAACTTTTTGGTTTTTGCCCTGTAGATCACCTCGAGCTAGTGTGACAGTGGATATAAATCATCTGCGAGGTCTTAACATCACCTAAATACATAAATTCAGCTAACATGAGTCTGTTACTGAAGTTCTGCTATTTTCTACAGATATTTTGTGTAACTGAATTAATCACTATCTTTTGATATATGTGGTTTAGTGTTACACAATTGGAGAATATATCCTTCAACTTAAAACAAGAGTGAAAGCTAGGCAAATCAGTTTGAAGAAAAAAAATCTGATTAGTTTCAAATTTCGCGTAAATTCTGAATACCTAAAATTACACTTTATTTTTATGATGTCGTTGTACTGTTTATCTCCAATGGTGATTTCAAGTGAAACTGGCAAAGTTAAACTTTAAGCACCATTAACTACCAATCAGCGAACGACCTTCAACAGACCAATCGCATGAAAGAGAGATTTTTGATTAAGGAAAACGTATGTATATTTATAGAAAAAAGCATAAAGACTGCTTAAAACTGTTACATAGGTTATCTTTCTCTAACATGTGACAGA